TAGTTTGTGATGTAAAGGAAGTCATAATTTCACTATTTAGGACATAATCAATTTTATTACGTCCATGCCCTTAATGCCAAATACATCCAATTTTAATTCAAGAAGGTTCACATTGTCTGACCTTCACTAGTAATGGAATACTTTCAACAAGTGGCAGTGGTAGTTTGAAGTAAATTATTGAAAAACTCACTGTACAATGTAACTTTTTAAAGCATCCAAACAGGTCATTTGGCCTGGGAGGGTGTGCTGGGAATCGCAAGGTTGGCAGTTCGAGTCCCAGCGGCCCCACGTCCCAAGTCCAAGTGTCCCCAACCTGCAATGGAATATGTTTTAATAAAACGACAAACGGCAGCCCCCACGTCCCTCCTTTCCTCTTTGCACCCACCTTTGCATCCAGGCGTCCCAGATTCTAGAGCTTAACTTCCCATGGAAAGTGTCCAGAAATGTACCGAAAATGCGCCGCCCTTATGCAACACTACTCACGACGCTGATGACAAAGAGCAGGATGGCACTGTAAAAACACGCTTAGACACTTTTATGAACTCATTAACAAAACCGCCAAACAATCGATGAGCACAGCCTCTGTCTCGTGTTTTGTCTCTCTGCTATTATTCTGCCGTCTGTGTACATATCAATTTTTGCACGGCGTGGCGCTTTGTTTAGAAATGGGGTTGCTGGGAGGACGGGGTGAGAGGCTGTCTGTCTGCCACTGTGGCTGTTTGGGATTACTTCATCCCGCTGATAGGAATAGACGTTAGGACGTCATCTTTTGTCATCAGTCCAACAATGTTCTGGTGGTGCAACGCTGAATCACTGAAGTATTCATTTAAACTATAATGTCTTCTGATCCACCGTTGAATGCCTGTGAAAACAGATATCAAATATTCAAATATTAGGTCATTTTCTATAATAGTTCATCTGCATGATTAAATACGCAGCAATAAAAAGAAAATGGCTCAAAATAAATGGCACTCAGAAGAATGTTGCATATACTTCCACAACGAGGCTGGTCCACAACAAAAACACAAATAAACACAAATAAATTCTCTGCAATAAACTAGATCAGATCTGTAAGTCGATGTTTTTTTAATGAAGGTGATTGAGATCTTCCCTGATCTGAAGCGTGACGGAGCCAGCTGGGATTCTCAGTTGCAACATCCTGCTGCGATTGAATTCCTTGTAACTTCCCATCACTTGAAGAGAATGTGGGTATTTTCCATGGTTTCCTGGTTTGACATGATCCGAAGGGACCATTTAGCATGCTTCAGTTTGCTAAAAGTAAAAGAGGTTTAGTAGGCAATTCTTCTGTGTCCCTGAACAAATGAGTAAAACTGCTGACTTTAAAAAGGCCGAACAAAGCCGTTTACCCTCTGGCACCAACATCATTTCACACAATGGATATGGATTGTAACGCTTTCACATCATTTACATCAATACATTTGATCGAACATTGGGATTGAAATGAAAGAAGAACATGAATTTATGATAAGAGTATTTGTTAATCCCGTGCGATTAAAAAACTTAAGGTAAATATTACGTTTGATTTGATTTGCCAGTCAGTTGCTGACTTCATGGATGTTAATACAACAATAATTACAGACTAAATTATAGCTTAAGTTTACATTATTGCGATGTTTATTTGCATGAGGGAATTCTCTCTCGGTGGACCTGGTGGAATATTGATTGGAGACGCTGTAGACTCCAGTAAGCCTTCACGCGGGGAGCCTTTTGGAACGAGGTCATTTGTAACGTCGATCGCCCCCACACCGAGCTCGAATGGATTGTTGGAAAAATGTTATTTATTCTGTAAAGATTCTGTGTTTATTTCTGCAGGTTCAACCAAACCTTATGTTTTCATTTTCCTCCATTTCCAATTTGCAGTAATAGTTTCTTCAGTAGATTGTACACAAGCTGTTCTAAGTGGGTTCACTCATCCAGTTGGGTTGGACTTTACGGACTGAACTTTTAACACCTACAGAGTAAGTTTATATTATTAGCAAATTCAAGCTCATCTCGTAGGGATTCAAGTAAATATGTGGTACATAATGGCCTTAATTTACAGTGTTGATCTCCTTACATATCAAATGCATCCCATGGAAAGCAGTCATGCATTCTGTTCTCCTGTGGAACAACTTTTCTAATAGAACATCTGCCAATGATTTACTCTTCCTCCTCCTCTGCCTAGTCCTCTTCATCACCTCAATGATAAATACATCAATGTAATTCTTTAATTAACCTCTTCCGTTCCAAACATTATTCACATTTGTGCTCCCTGAGAAGTCATGATAATTATAGAAACGTAACGTTTTAATTGTAACAGGAACAACGTTTAGTAGAGCAGCTGTTTGTTTTGATGGACATCCTCAACCTAACCTGAAGGTTACTACAACAGCGTATGAACTATAATATCATCAGATGTGACTTGAAGCAAACAATCCTATAACAATTCATTCATCAGTCATTCTTCATTGTGCAGTGGCCCTACTTCCCCATCGTATTTGACGGAGTAGGACTGTGCCCCTGGTTTAATTCATTTTCTCTCTAGGTTGCATCTGTTTTAACTCTTGCTGCCACCCGCTATGTACTTCTGTCTGGTCGATGCCAAACGTTGACCTACTCAAATGGAGAAACTGAGTCACCAAAAGAAAAGTATGTAGGTTAATGTCGACCTAAAGTGCTGTGATCACAATCCTAGTCATATAACTGTAGTACCAGATGGCTCAAATCACTTCACCTCACCTTTGGCATTAGAATGTGTCAACACTGCAGGCATCTACAGAGAAGAGCTGTGATTGCATCTCACTTTTCCTCTCTATATGCAAATACACACAAATGACATTTCTGCCTTGTTGTTTTTAATCAGCGGGAGCAGCAGACTTTGCTTTCCAGATCTTTCTGGAATTAAAGGACAGAATACGGACTTTGGAATACTCGTAGTTATTTCCGGGCATAGAGGACCAAGTCCGCCTGATGTTCACACGTTGTGAACCACCTGCAGGGGAGAAACCTGATTGTTCAGAGGGACGTCAGAACGCAGAGGCGATCTGAGTGATCCTAATAGTGTCAGGCGGGATTACACATTTGAATTGAATGAAACCATTGAAGACAGAAACAGTTGCTTCTGTTACTGCATGTACTCAGTGTGGGATCCTAGTTCTCCAATTACCTCCAGTTTGCTTTGGTTCAGCTAAATGATCCCTGACTAAACACTGGATTTGCACACAGTGATTAGTATTTATTGTCTGTACATATCTCACACACACACACACACACACACACACACACACACACACACACACACACACACACACACTTTTGATCTATAACTTCTGTCTTTTTCCTGCTTCTCTTCACATTTTGGTCTTCCCGCTGTTGATGTAATTTGAGGATGTCAGAACTTCAACTGCTTCTGTGTGTGTGTGTGTGTGTGTGTTCACTACTGTGAGGACAATAGGGTGTGTGTGCCTTCACATATTAAAGCAAGCATCAAATTTCCCTCCTCTCCTGCTCTGCGCATGAGTGAGTGTGTAAATATTTCTTTTTGTTATCAAAAACTACTTGTCATGTCAACGTGTGTGAGGAAATGATATTTAAATCCACAGTCTGACATGTGATGGTGAGCTCATCCAGGTGGAACATTGACTCAGTATCAAAAAGATACAGAATACATTTTGCTTTGCTGCATATTGTTGACTGTAAGGACCTTTTAGATTAAAAAAATACATCATGGATTTAAATAGAATTTACTAGTGAACAGTTTTCTACAGAAAAAGTGACTATAACTCAATGCCCCGAACCACATGAGCAAAAAGGATCCCAGGGTGCTTTTTCCCATTCAGCATTCATTATGGAGGAGACATTAGATATGAAACACGGTCCATCTACAGTACATCTATTCGCTGAGATAATCACGTATGCACTATGTACATTAACATTCACATATAGTGTGACATGGGATGAGATATTAAACATAAACAGTTACTTCAAACCGAACATGTATAGTTTATGACGTTATTTATTTATAAAACAGTCATTGAGGGTTGATTATATGCAGCGTACACAAAAGACGCTTTCATGCTTTCTTTAACGGGGATAAAATCATCAAACAGTGCTGATTGTAAAGCACCGAAATGATAAAATGTGGGAAAAATACTTATTTTTCTCTGTCTATATTTGCAGCAGGTGCAGCATCATGTTAACGCCGTGTTGATATGCATCTCACCAAACGAGAAGCATGTCCTGTGGTGGGGGCTTCGCATTGAAGCCAGAAGGTGTGGGGGGGTCCAGGTGCAGCATATACCGGAGTCTTACCAGTAAGACCTCTGGACCACATCTTTCAGAAGCACAGAAACAGTTGACAGGCAGCTCAGCAGAAAACCTTAGACATAACATTCCACTTTCATCTTTGATGCAAAAGACAAATGTTATCCAATAGTTTTCACTTCTTTTGTTTTAATTCTTGCTATATTTGGACGTAAAACAATTGTATGGTTCAGAATAGGATGAAGCATTTGATAAAAAGAAAAGTCCCATCCAACACCTGACTCCCTGCTCGGCTACATAAACGCTACGCTTCTTCTTAAGTTGACCCTGAACAATAGCATCGATACACCTGCCACAATATCCACTTTTATTCTCAATGCCTGTGGTTTATTTCGTCTTATGCTGTTAGGAGTATGATGTCCAAGTGTATGGCTTCCTCCCAAAACCATCCCCACGCTCCAGTACCGGGCCGCTCCCCCATAACCTGCAAACATCTGTCACCAAGCATACTGATACACTCCTTGCTTGTTAAACCTACTGTCATGTGCTATAAATAGATTTTATGTTCCTCTTAAACTGATTGATGCTTGTTCATAGGGGTGCAACACAAATCAAATGGCCCTCCTACTAATTGCTGATACTTTAATGACTCGCCAGAGACGAAGAGATGAAGAGGACTGAATGAAGATTATCTGTCTTTGTGTGAAGGCTGATTGCACTTTGTTTCTGTGTTGCAGGGGACAGACTCCACGTACAGCCGCTGCACGGCGCCTGCTTCCTTTGTACATCATGGAAACCCTCGTCGCTGATTGGCTTATAGTCTACCTTCCGACCAGCAGAGTTTAGAGAGGACATCTTTGCCGTTCTCTGTTCCATTGCAGTGGCTGTTGAAAGGACCTTTCGGAGGAATGTTGTGAAGAATAGCTTTTGGCTTTGCTGCAGGTTATTAATGGCTGCTATATTCCCAGTGGATTTTACACGGGATCATTAGCAACCACAACCTCTCCTACCCCCCCTCACTGATGCCTGCATGCGGTTGTGGCTTAGTGGGATTGTGTTTGTTTGCATCTGCATGGTGTAAGTGAGGGACAGAAAATACGATTTTTTTTTTCCAGTGAGAACGCAGCACAACATTTTAAAACAAGGAGTTGCAACTATGTGCCAGTGGAGGCACCATTCAATAACTGGTTACCGGCTACTCCACCCTGCCAAGAGTACGAGCAAGATGATGGGACACGTGAGGCTCGAAGGCTCCCTGAGCTGCGGCCGCTGGCTGTCCTCTCCAATGTGGCTGGGACTGCTGCTGCTGCTGCAGGCATCTCCAGCCGCTGTGTGGGCTCAGAAGCTTGACGAGAACGACCCGGTGGTCACCACTGTGTACGGAAAACTACGTGGCGTGAAGAAGGAGCTCAACAACGAGATCCTGGGTCCTGTAGTGCAGTTCCTGGGCGTCCCCTACGCGGCCCCGCCCACTGGCGAGCGACGTTTTCAGCCCCCCGAGCCACCGGCGTCGTGGCCAGAAACCCGCAACGCCACACACTTTGCCCCGGTGTGCCCTCAGAGCATCGTGGAGGGCCGCCTGCCGGACGTGATGCTGCCGGTGTGGTTCACCAACAGCATGGACGTGGTGTCCACATACGTCCAGGACCAAAGCGAGGACTGCCTCTACATCAACATCTACGTCCCCACTGAGGATGGTGAGTTAGCCCGCGGGCCCGGGGCAGGAGGATAGTTGGGTTGGTGGGCAGAGGGTATTGAACCCACCACATCCTGGTAGAGTGAAGGGTGTGTTGTCTCTGTCCGTCAGTAGAGAGAACGCATGACCCTTGTGCATGTTTAATGTGCATGATACTGCTTATAGAACATGAGGTGTGAAAGAGTGCTTGTGTGTGTGTGTGTGGCTTCCATGGAGACCCGTTCATTCCACTCCTTCTTTCCCATCTCACCATCGTTCCCTCCTCCTCCACCCACCCGTTGCTTTGCCTTGTTTGCTCTTCTGTGCAGACTCGCTCCCCTCCTCATTACTGTAACTCATCATAGCGAATTGTGCCAAGACACAATGTCTGCAGTTCGTTACACGGGGCCGAGTCGTGACCATCAGCGATTGATCAGGCTGACGGACCGGCCCTCTGGTCGACAGGATGATTGAGCTGCTGTGTTTCATTCCTTCCCTCTGCCTTTATTTCTACCTTTCCTTCCTCTCAGCTTTGTGTGTGCGCGTGTGTGTTTGTGTGCGAGTGCATGCCAGCTCCTGTGTGCGTTCCAGGGGCTCCATGTTATTCTTTAGTCTTTTATTCATTTTACAGTCAAAAGAATATCCAAGGAATGTGCCAGGAAACCGGGCAAGAAAATATGTAGACAAGGAGGTATGTATAATCTGAACACAATCTATACAGCTCCATTAAAGAAGAAACGAGGAGTGGAAAAAGGAGAAGAACCTTGCGGTGCTGCTGAGAACAATCATGATATCAAGGTCTACTAATTATTCAGGTCTCTACTCGGCGCATCAGCCTGTTTTCAGAATACTACATTTGCTAGCTACATGGAGTTAAATCGGAGTCTTCCTCTGACTGAACATGTGTCTGATTTCAGTAGGGACCATTAGACAAAACCCATTTGTTACCACAGGCCGGAATCGGCCATGTGAGTTGCAGACCATGTGATGTCGATGCCATGTGTGCTGTCATTGGTCATCAAGGTTTGGTGAGATGATCGGCTGCCAGATGTGGGGTCAGAAGCCGTGCTTTAACAAGGCTGGATGTGTGAAGAGACAGCGGCATATTATATATATATATATATTATATATTACATGCTCACAGTGTTTTGGGTGCATGCAGTGCTAAACGAGATGAGCTCGGGGTGGACCTTCACTGTGTAATCTCCATTAAAGGTTGGCCCGGACTACTGTTTCATCAAGATAATGCCCACCTCCTCCCCTCTGTGTCTCTCCCTGTCCCCCAGCCTCTCCTCACCAAGACGTGTGCACAGTTTAACTGTATACACACACACACACACACACACACACGTATTTATGTGAGAGAGATCCACGTGCACTCTCACACTTCCCCTCTCTTCAGACGTGTTGCACGTGCAGAGAGACATTGAATGGATGCTTGTTAACTGAGAGATTACAGAAGTTTACATGTTACTCAGCATAGAGAATCACCATCATAAAAGCAAGACAATCTGGAGCCTTAGTTGAGAAAACAACTGTCTGGTTAATAGCTAGTGTGAAACTAAACCATTAACTTATAGATTTATTAATAATCACTAAGATAACTCAAACAAATAAAAAGGGACTAAAAACCAAACTATAAATTAAGTGTCAAAATTGATATTCACTCATTAAGAGGAATTTAGGGTTTGTGCTTGTGGCCAGAATCACAGTTCACATGCACAGAGAAATCACTAAAAACTGCTCCTGTAACAGTTTATTAACTTCCAACAATAATGCCCAAATCACTACTATCATTCACAACTGAATATATACACAATATACAACATTGTATCCAAACAACAAATAAAAACATGTATTGACGCAAGCCGAGATAAGGAGGGGGAGATGTGAGGGGGCTAGCTTGAAGCTAAGCTAACGAGCAGAGATGTTGCTAGCAGGCCGTGTTTGTCCACCACGTGTCTTCCTGTGTAGTTAAACCTCAGTCTGAAGTCAGTTATACACTATACATACTTCCCCCTGGATGGAATCTGTACACGCTGCGCATTTAGTCACAGTTATTAATATTGTGACCAAGCTGCTGTATATGGTTATATACACGTCAGCATGTTTGACTTTACCCACTGAACTTCAATATGTTCTTTACACCCAGTTTTCCCCCCAGACAGTAGTGCTCTGAACCTCCGTGGCGTGATGCATTTTACCAAGAGGTAGTTTAAGTAGTAGTAGTTTAGTTTTATTATGAATTACAATTATATTAATATCCTCATAACTAACTGCAATAATATTGTAGATAACACCATTTAAAACGAATAGTAGGCATTGTTTTTCATATTAGAAAGAGTAGTTAAATCACTTTCTGACTTTTCTGTCCTGGGATACAGCAGGAAAGCTGAGGCGGCCACAGTCATTCTACTGGGATTCTCATGGAGACAGATTATTTCTGTCCAATCATTATCATTAACACAGAAGCACAAAGTGTGTTCAGTGGCGCATGGTGTGAGTGGACAGGTCATTGTGAGTGACAGGGTCATTACATGGCTAATTGTGTGCAGTCACCGATTGGATGAGTTAATGTGGGTGAGGGGGTCAAATCACTCACTATCACTACTACACACTTTCTTACCGGCAGGTCAGGCAGTGAGACAACAGCGGCCTGACTCACTGTTTGTAGCTATACCTCTGGAAATGATTCACTTTAATGTGTATATCAATTTGCATGTAACCCGTCTTAATTATGAGAACCTGCAGTATCGCGGGATGAAGAGGACGAAGGTGAATGTAGGAGGGCTGTTTGGGCTGGTGCTGGCTCAGTCAGTGGTAGCAACACTGCGCTTTGTCTTCTCTCTCCCTGCAGCATGCATTCATGTTTTAAGATTGAGGTTATTGCCACAGAAGATCACATCTCACTGATGACAGCAAACTGAACAGAAAGTCCAAATAAATCAAATGAGTGACACAGAAACATGCTTGAAAAGGACAACAAAGGCGTTCTGTTTTCAGATCAAACACAAAAGGATACAACGCGCGTATTAGTGAAACCATAGCAACGCGTCTGGGATGCTGAGGTGGATATCAATGTTCTACGTCGGTATCGGAACTACAAAATGATCAGCAGTGCTGCAATGTCTTTACAAATGCTTTCAAGTCTCACTTCAGAGGCCTGTAGATCCGACCTGATCATTTGTATTTTAAAAAATACATGAAAAACAGAAAGAGCATCATTCTTTTACTGCTACTATGCTGACTAACCCAACGGGTGCATGCTGGCACTGGATGTGCATGCATCAAAAGGCATTATGGGGAAAAGAAACACAAGTTGGTACACACATGCGAGGTGGAGGGTTGCCTCTGGTGCACAACGGGGGAATAGGGAACACCGATGCCTGCGTCTGGTTGGTTAGTTTTAAATCAACTGACAGCTCAGTGCCCATAGAGGGAAATGCTCACACGGCTCAATCAGCTCGTCTTCCTGACTGAATTCACGCCTAAGCTTCATTAAGGAAAAAATATCTCAACGTCTTTTTTGTCTCTGAAAAGGAGATGATGACACAACTGTACTATATTACTATATTGCTTTTTGTTTTGTGTAATGCAGCAGCTATTTCCTGTGCTGCTGGTTCCATATCACCAACACCAAAGCCAGCTGGACTAAATCCACTTAAATATTCAACCTTATCTGTTGCCTACAACAGTATTCGATGACCACTCTTGTCCATCAGATATCAAACTATAGCCATGATATGGTTAGCTAGTTTGACTCTGTCTAAATGGGAAAAATATATTCTTTAAAAATAAATACATGACTGGATTGGACCTGGATTGTGTGCTTCATGAAATCAACTTTCCCTTCAATGCTGTCAGACCGTGTAAAACAAAGAGGGGAAAAGGACGGTTTACTGTGTCTCTGAGGGGGTTGGACCCCCTCTATGTTTATCTCATGTTAAGTGAAGCATCGGGCTTTTAAACACAAACTAGGACACTAAACTGCAAAGTAGGCCATTTCGGAGCGCTTGTACAAGCTGTTTAATATCTGAAATGGTTCCGGAAACATTTCAACATGTTGCATTATTCTGAAAAGTCTCCATTCCGGAGGGGTTTGCAATAGAAGTTCTATATTTAATGTGCAGGCAACTTGATAGAAGGTGCTCTTTCCCTCCATGTGATCTCCCTCTGCACCGGCTGACCTTTTGCCGGGGTCTGTCTCCGTCTCTCTATCCCGCTGACGTTGACATGCTGGTGTTTCCGTCACGTCTGACGAATGACGCCATTTTTTCAAATTGACCAGAAATAGTCTCCCTAGCGTACGCGGCGCGTTTAGACGCAACATTAGAATTCACTAAGTCAGGGGACTGAAGAGATTAAAACAGTTGTTGCTAAAGATCATATTCTAGAAAATGTAAAAATGATCTTGTATATTTACAAAATATGTATAACTCTACTTAATTAGACCCAAATTGGACAGAATACAATTTACAGATTATGATCACCAAACAATTGATACTTTCAGAACTGTATACTTTGCATATATTATTTTATAACCAAGCCACACGAGTCAACTTGGTGCCCGTTGAGCAGATTAACCTCCTGTCGTGTTCAGGTCAGATCGGACTATTTACAACTTGAATCAATCATAACTACTGCGTTCTACTTGAGGCCCCTAGGCCTTGTGATATCGTCCAGACTATTTGAATATATGAAATGACGGATCACCACTCTCACTGAATTTTGAGTGGTGATAAGGACGGGTACCCCAGGTCCTTCCTTCCTCCTGTGCAGTAGAAACACCCCATCATAAACTGTAGTATATGTAATATCTTCTGAATATGTATTAACCATCCCCCCTCCTCCTGTCCACAACACACACACACACGTGTGTGAACACCGGTTCACGTCCCAATACATAAAGCTGTAAACATTTCTAACTTCAAACTAAAAATGACAGTATCCATCATGTCCCATCCGCCCACGTGAACCACACCTTCCTCTTCTCTGTGAACACTAAAGTGAGGTGTGAGAAACCAACCCAACACCGCTAATAAGCACATGTTTGCTTCAGAAGTGGCACCATTCTCTGCAACGGAGTCTCCTGCAACAACAGTTGAACCCACAGTGCTAATAGACAGTCAGGGATATTTCAGAGAGCCGCAGGTAACTGAACCACATTCATAACACGAGTATATTAAATTCCTAACATGCAATAACTCTGTCACTTTAGATTACTTGCATTACAGTTTGAACAGTGTCTCAGCTCCTTTCTGTAAATGACCTTTAGATTGTGGTCTGAACATTTAATTTGATTTGGTCTCTATTCTTTCTTGGCTCAAAGGCACCATTAACACTTTGTTATGGATCATTTCAATCAAAAGATGATATATTGCGCTCAGGTTGTCCAGTACCTTTTCTAATTTTGTAATTTGTTGAGAATGTTTCCAAACATTTGTTTGCAATGTGACTGGCAGGATGGTGATGACCAGTGTTGGGAGTAACGCGGTACAAAGTAACGCATCACTGTAATCCCACTACTTTTAGCGGTAACGAGCATGTAACAAAGTATTTTTTTAAATAAATGAACGCAGTTACAATTACTGAGATTGAAATGAGTTTGTTACTCGCGTTACTCTCTTTTGTGACGCGAAGCGGAGGGCCGGCCAATAGTAAGTAAACAGCTGCCTGTCAGCACTAAACAGT